CTCCCCTGCCTCATCCATGCACTGTTTAAGACACCTCAATGTTATATCAAAGGACCTTAAAATTTCCACAGCTTGCCTAGGGACCCTAGAAGTCCCAGTGAGCCAGGTACCCATGATATTCTGCAACCTGGAATGATCTACAGTGGCTCTCCCTCCACTAAGACCCAGTGAATGCTCTCTATTGCTCACACAGCCCAGGAAATGCAGCAATTCCTTCAATGACCCACTTCAGTAAAACCCTATGTAATGCTCAAACCAATCCACGTAATATCCTGTGAGACACCACTACATCCCAAGAAGCCCACATAGTGCATTTTAGAACCAAAAAACATCCATGCAAATGTAGGTCTGTGTGTCCAAAGTCCACTTCTGGAACACTTCACTTGAAAGGTTCTTGCATGCGTCCTGCAGCCTCATCGCTGTTGCCAACCTCTTCAGCCCAGGGCGTATATAGCTAGAATACATTCGTCCCAGTCCCTGCTCCTGGCACAGACCCTGGGGCAGGAGCAGTAGAGGTTGGCCCTGTCTCTGCCAGGCAGCGGCTAACAGTTTGGGTCTAGGTCTCGGTTGATGATGCAGCTCTCTAATGGTGGACTGCTCCAGACTCCACTTTCTCAGAGTGGTGCCAGATTCTCTGGAAAATATGATGTATCTTGGACTTTAGGTCCCCTGACTTGTAGGCTGGGGTCAGGAGGCCAGTGCAAGGGTGTCTGAAGGCTGGGTACCCTTGTTCTGCAGCCCATCCTGGGCCTTGAGGTCTAAAAATGAAGTTCTTAGATGTGCTTAAGGCCCTTGAAGCAGGACATATGAGGGAGGTGAGGGGAGGGTGTTCAAAGGCTGGCCCAGAACTGCAGCAGGAACTTCGAAGAACCCAAGTGGGACTCAGGACACCTGGCTGAAAGTACAGCCACTGTTCAAGTTGGTTATGCAGTGCGGCAGGGAGCCATGGGGCAGGTGTGCCAAGACCATTATTCACCAGATGATCCTTTAAGGCCCGAGCTTTGAGCCTGATGTCCTGTGAGGAGTGTGCTACAGTGGCGGGTGCATGGGCAAGAGAGGGTAATGTGATCAGGCCAATAAGTGACATCTGAGCTAAATCCTCAACCATGAGGTAGGAGGTGGGAGTGGGAATGAAAGGAGGGTAGGGGCACAGTTGCAGAGCCCCAGGGGAGGGCGTAGCCAGGACTTGAGGTCCTGGAGCTGCCCCCATGGAGTGGGTGCATGTCCCTTACCCCCTTGGAAACAATGGTGTGAATAGATTGCATATGAGAAAGTAAAAATGAACTCCGCCTAGGAAAGTAAACTCTGCGGCTGTTCTGAGTGGCAGCACAAATCGATCTTGGCACAATGCTCCTTTTGAGTGCTGGACAGCCGGTTCTTTGAGAGAAACTTGGGTCCCCATCGTCACACATGGTGACAAGCTCTGCTGTTTGAAATCCTCAGTAACAAGGACACCCTATCCTGGCCTGGGGACCTAAATCACTTTGACATGAGCTGCAGCCGCGCTTCTGGCCTGAACAGCCAGATGTGGGAATGCATTGCACATCCATCATCATGTGTTCGTCCCCTCTCCACTTAGCAGGAGACAGGAACACAAGGTCTTGCTTTGCTTTCAACCTGCCGAGAATAGCGTCATTCGTTTCTCCTGAACAAATGCCACAGTCCTCTCAAGTCCTTATAAGCAACCACTCTGGGATGAGGACCTCACGACTCCCAACCCCCAGCGTGTGCAGCCCACTCATTGCCCAGCTTCAGTGAGCCTTTGTCCAAATAACAGGCTGGTACCTGGTGTTTTAAGCTGCTTCTACCTGTCCCAGGCCTGGGCGAAGGGCTCATGGAGGGCACCTAACCAATCCTGGGTGGGAGAAGTCAGGGACTGATGGGGGGCAGAAGGACAATGAAGGATGGAGTGTTAGCCTGTGAAGTTGACTGAGCTCTGGAGTTGAGTTGCTGATTCCTACGGGAATCAAGCTCTTTTTCCCTCCCTAGAGGAGGGATCTGGAAAGGTCACCACAGGATGAGAGTCTCTGCCCAGGCTTCTTACGTACTAATTACTCACTGTGCCTCAGAGACCCCTTCCCTGGGCCTATTTCTCCTGGTGGCTTTAGTCACAATTCCCTCTTGTTACCTTTTCCCACATGAGGGGTTGCCCAGGAGAGAACCAGAGAAAGCAAAGGGTAATTTCCACTTAATTTGACATTTCATATGTGAAGGGCACTATTATAAACATTTCACATGTTAACTCAATTTTCCCAACATCTGAGATGGGGACTTGGCATTATCCTGATCTCTGTATGAAACCAATCCTCTCAGAGGATCTCACAGGCCATCTTGCTCTTGAGCCATGTTTCTGAAGGACAGGGCTCCACTGACTTTCTTGTACTTATTATCATTATCTGAGATCCCTGGGACTGTGCCTGCTTGAGGACTATATATCCCTCCCCCACTTTTTATTTAAGCAATCTTATTTTTTTCTGATTGCAAACATATTTCATGTTTATTATAGAAACTAGAACATTACAGACATCTCATTTGGAAGGTAAATCAATCTCTAACCCAGCACATAATTTATATATAATTTTTTTTTCTATAATTCTCTGGAGATTCAGCCAGATTGTTACATGAATTAATAGTTCATTATTTTGTATTGCTTAGTAGTAGTCCCAGAAAGTGCTTTTAAAATAAAGGCCTACTAACCTATGAAAAAGTATTAAGGTTTATTCTAAGACTAATGGCTTGAAAACACTGTATTATTTGTTTCCCAGAAGGTACCAGTATCTTACCCTCAATTTTTGTCAAATACTTTAAAACCCAAGTCCTATGCCATCAGAGGAATACTCTTAAGTCAAGGTCAGATCAACTCTGCTCAAAATACACCAAAGATTCCTACTTACCTTAGAGAAAAATGGCCCACCATCTGACTCCAGGCCTTGTCTGACCATCAAGCGTACTAACTTCACCCCTGTGCTCTCACACACTCACCTTGCCTCCCTGGTGTTGTTCAAACACACCACAGGCTACATTGTTTTCAGGGCACTGCATTTCCCTCCCTGTTAGACATTGTCCCAATTCTCCAGCACCCCTGCATCACCAATTCTCTTCCTCTTTAGGCCCTTTCAGGCCTCCAGGGCCACTCAACAACTGCACCACGAACACCAATACTCAAACTTCTCATGTTTGCTACTTCTACTTTTTGTACTCTGCCCTAATTTGTGCAGTATTTATATTTTACAGATTTGTTATGGCCTCCCACCCCTACCAGAATATAATTCAAATTGGTGCCTGCAGAATTTTCTGAGTTTTGGCTCAAAGATTTGGCTGTTCTCAGATTACCATTTTATAATTTCCTTTGAGTATATATTGGCCATTTTGAGCTTCTCTTGTTCTAAAAGTAACTTTAAAAAATCTGGTTGCATGCTTTCTACCAATCCTGACAGATGATAAAATAGCACATGGGTCTTGTAATTTTTCTATACCTACAATTTATGTACACAGTATCTGGTACTCTTATCAAAAATATCCAGGCATAAAAGAAACTTATACCAGACAACATAAAGATGCAGATATTAGAGTTAGGCCTAGAATTCAGCTGTGATTAATATGTTCAAGGAATGAGATGACATGTGGAGATTTTTGGAAGAAAATTGAACCTATGTGTGGTGGGTTAAATTGTGTCCTCCAGAAAGGTATGTTCAAGTCCTAACTCCCAGTACCTGAGACTGTGAGCTTATTTGGAAATAGGGTCTTTGCAGATATAATCAATTTAAGAGGTGATACTGGATTAGGGTGGGCCCTAATCCAATGACTGGTGTCCTTATAAAATTTGGACACAAGGAGGCTATGTGTCAACAGCGATAGAGATTGGAATGATGCAGCTGCAGCCAAGAAATACCAAGAGCTGTCAATAACCATGGAAAGGCAAGGAAAAATTCTTCAAGACTTCGGAAAGAGAATGTCCTTGCCAACACCTTAATTTTGACTTCTTGGCTCCAGAACTGAGATTTTACATTACATAGAAAAATGGGAATTTTAGAACTAAAAGTTATTAACTGAAGTTAAGAACATAACTGATGTTTAACAAAATTAGACTTAGCTTAAGAGAATGAGTGAACTGGTAGATAATAAGGAATATCAAAACAATATTAGAAGGAAAATGCATTAAGTAAAATTCAAAATTAATGATTTAAAAAACCTTATACTAAACCAAAAATTGACTCTCTCCTAATTTAATTAAGGGTATGCAACCAAAAAACAATCAGTGTTTTAATGGAGAAATATTGAAAGCTCTCTCTCAGAGATTGGAATAAGATACCCTCTGACCCCAATTTTGTTCAGCATGTTTTTTTCTTTAGCATCACATTTTCTAATAAAAAAATAAAAAGCAGCAACAAGAAAAGAATGAAGTACCTAAGGATTAGATATAAATGTCACTATTTGCAAATGGCATGATTTTGTAGGTAAAAAACCCAAAGAATTCACATTTAAATTAGTTATAGATAAGTGAATTCAGCAGGGCCACAAAGTTCAATATGAAAATCCATACTATATATTTTTTAATCCTGGTATTTCTAATCCCAGCAACAAACTCTCAGCAAATAAAAGACACCATTTAAAATATAACAAAATACTTAGAAATAAATCTGATGAAATACGTGCATGAATTTTTACATGAAACCTGAAGTGAGATGCCTTAAAAGAAATTTTGACTTGATGCATCTGCTAACATACAGAGCGTGAGTATGGTCTTAGTGCAGAGGGGGCTCAGGAACTACTTTTTGAACAATAAATAGTTCTCTGCTTCAGAAAACATGCACTGATTCATAACATTCGAGGTCTGTGACTGTTAACTTGTCAGAGACACCACACAAAACCTTGAGGGTGCTGCTGTTCTTTGGAGCAGATGGCAGGGCAGCTTGCAGAACCTCTGGTCACCTGATAATTTGAGTAGGAGCAGTATTTTTGTGTAAAATAAGCTTTCTCCAAAATTCAAAATGTCTTACCAAAAATTATGCTTTTCTTGGTGATGCATTATCTTGACCCTGACAGTGAGGGAAATGTCTCAATTCTGTCCAAGGCCAGAAGCTGGCAAACATTTCCTATAAAGGTTCAGATAGTAAATGTCAGGATAATTTAGGTTTTGTGTGCCACGTGGTCTGATGAAATTATTCATCTGCTAACAGATTGGCCATAGACAAGACATAAATGAATGGGCATGGTTGTATGCCAACAAAACTTTACAAAAACAGGCAGATTTGACCTATGAATCCTAGTTTGCCGATCCCTGCCCAACTATTAGACCTTAAAAATTTCTCTGATGTGGCAGAGCCTTGAATTTTTCCACCCTCTATCACACACATCTTCCTGGGGCATCCAGAATACTTGCTACTTTCTCATTTTCCAAGTCCCATGCACATGTCATTAATATAGTGGATTATGATGAAGTGATCAGTGAATGCCTCTTCAGACACTATAACAGAAAGCAGGAGTTACTACAGCCCTGGAGAAAGACAGGAAATGGGTCCTGATGGCCACGTTATGAGATGGTAAAATGTTTAATTTCCTGCTTGATGCTGACTGAAGAGAATATAGTCAATAGGTCAGGGGCTTCCCAAGTGCTAGAGGCTTGTTGATCTATACTGGAGAAGACACCACATTAAACACTGGGCTGTGATTGTGGCAACTACTTAAATTCTTGGTCATGAGTCATCATCTGCCAGAATCTGTTTCCTAGGACCAGACAGACTAAAAGGGCCTATGCTTGCCTTTTACAAGTCTTCGAGCATGGCCCTAACCTTAGACATTGCACACACTTTACAGCACCTCTTATTCAGTTTTGGATGGGGAAAGCCATTTATAAGAGGTTCCTTTTGGCCTTTCCTACTGTATGGCTATCCACGATGCAGAGACCCAGTGTGGGGGCTTTTCAACTGCCTCGGGTAAGCCTTCCCACTGTTAGGGAGATAATCTGAGGGGTCTGCATACTGGTTTGATCCATGGTGAGGTGAGCGTACCCAGGAATCGTTTGTCATCTGGCCCATGTTCCTACTCTTAACAGAAGAGCCGTGATGGCATTTTGGATCCCTTGATATCATTATCAACTCAGAACCCGTATCTAACAGCAGTCAAGAGACTTGGGTCATTTCCTTCCCGTCCTCAGAGATTTACGCCTCTTATATACAATTTGCTGCAATACTGCCAGGCCCTTCCCTCCTTTTAATTGGTCTCTAGAAAATCAAGGTCTTAATTCTAGTTATTTCCAGAACAGACAGGATCTGAGACCTGTCTGTTCTGGAAATAACTAGAATTAAGACCTTGATTTTCAATCAGCTTTCTGGTCATGTGATCCCTGGACCAGAGGTCTAATAGCCTTTCTCAAAGATCAAGACCAGGTAGGTCATGGCCCCTCACTGCCTTTTGAGCTTTGCTGCCTATTTTGTCAGTCATGCTAACCTCACATTTGATCATTGCCCTTACCTGGTCTCTGATCTTCTGGAATCCTGTTATCCTTATTTTCTCACTGCCAAACTCAAGAGCCGCCATTAAGCTTCTGAAAATGCTGGTGCACCTCACTAGCACATTCCTTGTCAATTTAGCTAAAGTGTCCTTAGGCTCCCCCTTTTCCAGGCAACATTTTTCTTCCTTCTGTAGTGGGGACTCTCTCCTGTGCTATGCTCAGTCCTGATAGTAGTTTTCTGCAACAGGAGAAAGGTCAGCAAACTTCTCTTACAGGATTAAGTATTTAGATTTTGCAGGCAGGCTGAGGCAAATTTGAAATCTTCACATTGACAAAACTCAAAATAAGTACAATATTCTGTACTACAGAATATTTTGGGGGAGACATTTTTCTTAATTGGAGTTTCCTGCCATCAGTGACTCAGTGGGTCATGGAAAAACAGGTAGCAAGCTGATTTTCAATCTAACCTGGAAATGGACTTGGAGCCAGCTTAGAGGGGGCAAAAACCAGCTTACAAATCACCTTAGGTGAGACCTCTGGATAGTCTTTTTTTCCAGTAAGAGGGGGCCACAAATGCTGGCCCAGATTTCAGGGCCACCTAGCACATTCCCCCCGATTTTCCATCCCAGGTTGAGACTTGTTCCGTTATCTAGACCCTAAACTTAGCAAAGATTTACAGAGAGCATATGTACTTCTTCAAACTTTACTGCCCTATCAAATCTTGATCTTTCATGGCATCCTAGCCTGTCATAAAAGGTTTCTTCAAATGCCCAGGTTCAACACCTGGGTTTCTCTGCGTCTTCCTTATAGCTTAGACCTTTGCTTCTCTATGGCAGATGCCTGAAACAAGTGGGCAAGCCCACGGAATGAGCAGACCATGTAAACATGGTCTTTAACACACATATGGTCTCTGTCTCCCTAGAATTCTCATTCTACCCAATCTTCGGATATTCCTAGTTCCACCTATATCCTAGCCTCATAAAAGGTTTCTTCAAATGCCCAGGTTCAACACCTGGGTTTCTCTGCGTCTTCCTTATAGCTTAGACCTTTGCTTCTCTATGGCAGATGCCTGAAACAAGTGGGCAAGCCCATGGAATGAGCAGACCACATAAACATGGTCTTTAACACACATATGGTCTCTGTCTCCCTAGAATTCTCATTCTACCCAATCTTCGGATATTCCTAGTTCCACCTATGTCCTGGTAAT